AGGTGAAGCGGAGTTGGGGACTAATGTGCGTAGTTGCGAATGAGTGCGAAGGACTTTTGGTGCCATACAAGATGTGTACTAGTCAGGGAGCAGATAAATACTGTCAGAGACCAGATTTAAGATGAAAGAATGTCTCCGTAACGGAGGGCTTTGGCCTCAGCGACTTCTGCCAGGAGCGCTGTGCCTAGTGACACGTCCGTGCCCTAACTTACTGACTGGCGCTTAGAACCTAGTGGGGGTAACTCTAGTTGATTTATCTGCTGGGGCGTAACCTATGTACAAGTAGTGTATATATATGGTTACAGCGGAGACAGTTCCGCAATTGGCGGAGCCAGACGGAGCGGAGCTAACGGGGTTAAGACATTAGCCGACTGAATATTACCGACGAGTCGGTTCGCGGGGTTAGCGGAAAGGCAGGCGTTAACCCAGAAACGGAAAGGAGGGATAAGCCCGAAGGTGGACTCTGCAGGGCAGGCAAGTGTATTGCCCAGCGGAGGCGGGAGTGCGCTAGCGGACGTCGGAGCTGTCCGGAAGTCTTCGGGGCTCCGTACTTAGGGAGGCGTAGGTAATAAATTGAAATGAGGGGGTGGTGACCATCGAGGGGTACCGGGAGGTTTGCGGAATACGGGGGCTCCGAGGTTGGTGAGGGGGAAGCGGAGTTAGAACGGAAGGGTCGGAGAGCCCGGAAGTCGATGGCCGGGAATGGATATGACACTATGTACAAGTGGGATATATATATGGTTACAGCGAAGACGGGTCCGCAATTGGCGGAGCCGAATGGAGCGGAGCTAACGGGGTTTAAACATTAGCTGACTGAATATTACCGACAAGTCGGGTTGCAGGGTTAGCGGAAAGGCAGGCGATAACCCAGAAATGGAAAGGAGGGATAGGCCCGAAGGTGGGCTCTGCAGGGCAGGCGAGTGTATTGCCCAGCGGAGGCGGGAGTGTGCTAGCGGACGTCGGAGCTGTCCGGAAGTCTTCAGGGCTCCGTACTTAGGGAGGCGTAAGTAATAAATTGAAATGAGGGGGTGATGACCATCAAGGGGTACTAAGAGGATTGCGGAAGAGGTTAGTGAGGGAGGAGCGGAGCTAGACCGGAGGGATCGGAGGGACCAGAAGTCGATGGCCAGGGATGGATATGACAGGGACCTGGAGCAAGTCCAGTAATTTGTTGGATAGTCAATGGGGGGTTTCTTCCCTCTGTTTCCCTTTGTCTGCCTTTAGGGCTTGACTTGGGGAGGCGAAGGGAGGCTCCAGGGGATAGTGGGGCCCTGGAGTTTCCTGTGACTGGATCCAATCAGCTTTTTGGGCTGATTCTTCGGCACTTATATGTTCATCACTGTCAGGGGACGGACCCCGGGTCCCCATGACCCCTCCCTCTATAGCCCACAGCCTAATCTGTAACAGCCTAGTCTCAAGGCACAACTACTGTGGGTAAGAAAGTGTATAGATAAATAGAAAGTAGGCTACACTTGCCTACTGTGGGTAAGAAAGTGAGAAGAAGGTTAACTTCTCACTTTCCCACAGTGGCCCCAATATGGCGAAAACTTCCGGGGATACCCGGAAGTCACATGAAGGTAGGATCCGGGGACCGGAGCATGCAGCACATGGAGCATGTGGTGCAGGAAGCGCGCGCAGGTCCAGACGCGGGTCCGGGTCTGGGCTAAGTCAGGGTATGTGCCCTGACAATCACACAAGTTGATCACCTCATCTGGAGGTGAGAGATCCTTCCCAATGTGGGAAGGAGTGGTGTACTGTGGAGTTCTAGGGGTATTGGGCCCCACACTTACTCCACATAAGTTTTTTAAACCCTCAGGGACCAGCCCTGAAGTGGTTGCTTTTTCAGGATCATGTTGATCCTTGTTGTTGTCTGATTGTCAGGGCACAGCCCCTGACCCCACACACCCTCAGGTACCCTTCCCCCATTTTCTCCTATTTTTCCCTTCACTGTTCCACAATCCCGCATGCATGCAGACCCATGGGAACATTCTGGGCGAGTTACTTGCCCAGAAACCATCACAGCCATGACCGTGGGAACTTTCTGGGTGAGCAGCTCACCCAGAATCTTCCCACGGGGGGGTGCCAATTATGGAAAGTCGGCAAAGAGCCAAAAACTGTATAGTTCCCGACTGTTAGAATGGGCGGATTCGGACGACTCCGGAATGGAATCGGAGACTTATCATGGAAGGACCTTGGCCTCAGTGACTCAGGCGGAGCACTGTGCCATTGCTGGTTGTCCTAGGGGTCCCTAATTTCGGATCTAGCAGAGGGAAAGTCTCTTGGGGGAATTCATGTCGATTTCGGACTGAGGTTACAAGTTACTATGTACATTGTATATAAGGAGGGGTCCGGAATCAAAAGGAGCGAGGGTAGGATGAAAGGAGACAAAGGGAGATGGAAAGAGGAACAACACCGAGGGTCAAGGGTTTGACTCAATGGTGTTTCTCAAAGGAGGAATGAAGGGCCAAGGCCCAAGGAGGAAGGAAGGAGGTTGGGAGTGGGGAATGGCTAGCTGACTGAATAGGAAGGAAGCAGCAGCCCAAATAGGAATGAGGGAGAATAGCGGAATTGAAATGGACAATGCAATAGTTGCAAGGTCCGGAGTAAGTCCGGAAAGTCCGAACTCGGAGGTTAAACTCCGGAATATTGGCAAAGGTAATTAAATGGAATGAGCTAACCAATACAATGGGTATAAGCGGAGGTGGGGTCAAAGTCCGAGGTCGGAGCTAAGACCGGAGGTTCCGGAGACGAGACGTGAACGGGATACCGGAGCGGAGGTCCGGAGTTGGGAGCATAGGTTTTGCGTACTCGTCTGGAAGGTGTCGAGGTTGGGGTCGGACCCGGAATGTTCCGGAGTCGGACTGAAGGTGGTGTCTGAGCCAGAGGTGGGATAACCTCTTGGGAGTTGGCAAGGAGAAGGTGACGGAAGGGAAGTAGGGCTCCGGAAGTCGGAGTTCGGAGTTCCGGGAGCCCGGAGCGGAGGTCAGGATTGTATGGATATGACACCGACCCCCATTTGTAGCGGCTTCACAGGAGGTTGAGAAGGTTACCCTTCTTCTCAACTCATTTCCTGTGAAGGCTGGGGCTAGCCCCCTCAGTGAGTTTGAAGATCTCGGACTGGGACTAGATACCCCAGCAACTAGGAGGATCCCCCTGGGCCCATCGCGGAACGAGGGCCAGGCCCTGACACTGATGACAGCTGCTTTTGCAAATCTCCCATAATGGGAGATTGCAGTTTCTATGAACTGCTCATTCTTTGTTGTCACTGCAGATGCAACCTTGCCCTTGCAGGCATGTTTTGGCACCATTAGTGCTATTGAGTCAATGTATGTAAAGTTCAATGTAAAATTTGTGTGGTTGTGTTTATTCTTAAACACACCTCATACACTTAAAAAAGTGTGAGGTCTCAGGGGTCACTCAGCACACCAGAACCATACAAAGATGTGTATAAAACAGTAGTGTGTAAGTGGTTACGGAAGTTGCCCCTTAACCATGTGACTCTCTAGATACAACTTTGTTACATGTGACTTGGGGTTTGGGGCTATTGCCCTGACAGCGTTGTAACATGTTCAAATAGCAATTCCCAATAACTGGGGAACGCCGCCTGAAGCAGCAGAACCTGCTACTCTTACCCTGCATGCATGCCTCTCTCAACGTTGGTATTGGCTGAGATGAAGCCCGAGATTTGCTGTTACCCTGTAAACGTACCACATACTCTGATTTAACAACCGCGTAATTTACACTGCAGCGTGCAGCACTTCGTACTCCAGTTAATTCTCATCGCACCCAGGCAAAAATGAATCTCACGCATATTGGGCACTGTGATCCATTGTGGTCTTCATCAATCGAAGGCCATGGGAGTTAGTATCTCCCAAGTCCCCCTTTTTTCTGAGCTCATGGGACAAGCAATTGGCTTGATAGTTTCCATCCGAGTGTTGACATGTTCATTGTTTCTTGGAAGGCGCTGTGGGAGTAGTAATATAGCATCTCACACTGTAGTATACTCGATCTTTCAATTGCCTTTCACAAGCACGTTGTGACCGCTCGATCTCTTTGTTTCTGTGAACCATCATATTGATTGCTTTACAGAGCGAGTATTGCATCGGCCAGCACCAAGTTGAGAACCGAAACATCCAGTGAAACATACAAAGAAATGACACAATCCCTTGTCCAACGTACTTGAGCCTGGCCACGTGTCACAGCCATGCATTCCAGCCTGTTCCCGGCCCGTCCCGATGCCACCCAAACCCATTCCCGCTGTGCGAGCATGAGCACGAGCCCCAACCCTCATCCCTATCCTCCTTGAGGACTCCCCACTCACTCCCCACTTGCCTGTGGTTCCCCAATGCTAGACTGACTCCCCTGCTGCCACACCAACCTCCCCACCATGAGTCCACCTCCAGCACCACACCAAGCGCAACTCCTCTACTCCACCCACTTGGCCCTCACCGGGCCGCTGCCATTCCTATGCCCAACTCCAGCCCAACTCCAAGTCCGGCACCGCTACGATACCATCACTGCTATCACAGCCCTACACTCCTTCCTTTATTTATCTGTTATTGTTTGTTTTGACCCTCAGTCATTGCCAGCCACTATGCAGCCAACCCTGCTCCTTAGTCATGTTTGCTTCCGGACCCCTCGGCCTTCGGCCTGGGTCCGCTTCCATTCATTCTTTCCTCCTATATATATCCTGTATACTACATTATAGTACTTTAGCTCTAATATCAATTTGACCATGACCTCCTAAGCCCTGACCCCAGCAAGGCAACCCCAGTAAGTCTGAAATGAGGGCCAAGAGACAGCTAGGGGGCACAGCGCTCCTTTAGAGTCACTGAGGCCAAATGCCCTACCCTTGGGCCTTGTTCGTGGCATCACAGCCATCACGGCCTATAGCGGCCTGCAATGGCAACCCTTGGTGCCGACCCCGGACCAGTGTCTAACACCACAGCATCAAAACACCACCCAACCCTGATCGACATCGTTTGTTCCGATGCTGGTCAGGACACTCTCTAACCCCATGGTCAACCACAGAGCCACATAATGAGGAAAGGACCCAAGTACAGATCATTTGCCATTGCAGTGGGAGGTAACCAGTGTCGCCTCAATGCACGGTGACAAGCAAGACAGACTCGGAGTCTAAAGTGACCATCGCAGTCGGAAACGACACCCTCAGGACAGATCATAATGTGGTGCAGGGATGGTGTATTCGCAAACAGGTTCGGGCCATGGTTGGGGTATACACTGACCAGCAAGTCAGTGTCATAAGCGCTGAACTGCATAGAATTTGGCACGAACTCATGCAATGGTTTTGCAGCAGCACAGACAGCGCAAACCAAAGTGGAGAGTTGTTGGGAGGAAGTTAGGTAGTACTGATTCAGAATCTTTTTCTTCATAGCCAACGTGAGTGTTTCAGGCCAACATGCTGTGCACTGGAGGTGCCATTGTTGGTAAGCGTCAACATTAGAAGAGGGAGCACATTGCGATGCAAGGTGAAGAATGCTGTGACAAATAGTCCGTAGATCTGCATCAGATTCAATGGGCAAAGCAAACTGTGCAACGAAATGATGAAGGCATGCACTGCAGAGATCCGTGGATGCAACAGCAGAGAGAAACTGGGAGTGATGGACATTGAGTTGTGCAGCAGAAAAGGCAAGTGCACGACAGCATGGTTGGACAGGAAGCCAAGCGTGAGCTTCAAGACCAAAGTCACAAGGAGAATCGGCAACAATGTGATCGAACAACAGAGCACGTAATTGATCACGATTTAGACGTTGTTGTGGGGACAACTCCGTGTACCGCAAAAAGTCGGATTCTGCGGAATTTGGTCACCAACATGCAGTACATATCCGCTGACGCTCCCGATACTCATTCTATCACTATCCAACACTCCATACACTCACTCCATATTTTTCCTTATTTTCCCCATCATTCCCGACAGCCCCAAGCCAAATTCCCACGCCCAACCACGCCGCTAATTTCACCCCCTCTCCAGATCTCCATAACCACACATACAACCCAGCCATTTTTCTACCCGTTGGTGATGCTATACCTTCCTCCTTTACCCCCGGAGCACTTCCCAAAATGGCAACCCCATATTCGGATGGCTCAGCATGGTGTATAGCCTCACGTGGTCTTGACAGCACCTGTCAATGGCCACATCTCAAGAAGTACTGCACCAATTGGGATGAATGAGGGCTCGTTGGAAAGCTGGAGACGAGGAGGTTGCTGACGGGAGGATAGGCGGGCGCTGCGGCGAAGTGTTGCGGAGTTAACCTTCACAATTCCCATTTCGGACCCGTTGTCACATATTGCCCATTCATTCATATTTCTTTTATTGTTTCTTTGTTCCCAATTGGATATTCATCATTTACGGTTGCCTAACGGCCCGTTTACATTCCCCCAGTCCATTCATTCCATTTCCAACTCATATAAAATAGATAATAGCTTGTACATAACAAGTTAGTACTGAATAGACCCGTGAAGGGACAAGCAGAAGTTACATCCAAGTGGCAAAGACACCATCCACGACCCTAACGCCCCCTCTGAGCTAGTTGCTCACGTCTAAGACCCCTCACATCATAATACTCAGCCTTGACGTCCAAGAGAGACGTAGGTGAGTGTTTGTTTGAGGTTTTTGCAGACTCAGTAGCACCCACAGACCAAAACCCAGCCCAATGAACCACACCTGCGCACACTACCACCCTCCCCCTTCTCTCTGTCTCAAGTCTAGGCGATAGACCCGTTACAACGTTGTGCAGAGGACATGCCGGGTACACGGTGAAAATGACAAAGGGCTAGTGAGTCGTTCCAATTCATTCTGTCCAGATGCCGGAGAATGGACAAGGGATCAGGATATGTTGCTGAAAGCGATGCAGAAGGAGTTGTATGTTGTGAAGGCTCTCAGGGCCGCAGTGGTGGAGTTGAAGGAGATGGACATCAATAGTGGGTAAATGTTCATGTTCTTGCACACAACCCAGGAGAGCAGATCCGTAGCAGTCAGCATTCACAATATGTCGTATCATGCAGAGTGATCCATGTAGGCATGCATAGTTGGAGATCATGCAAGAGGAGAGATGGAAAGTGGAAGAAAGGAAAGAATAGGGCCACAACCCTGGGTACATCAGTGAGAAGTGAAGTAGCTGGGAATGTATCCACAACACACTTGTATTGGGAGTGAACATGAGCTTTTTCAGGAGATATGATTGGTCAGTGAGCTTGAGAGAAGAAGTCAACGGCGAGAACAATGATGTTACATAAGGAGTGGACCCTAGGTTGGGAGGGAGTGAGGACCCGAGGGAATAGAACTGTATGGGTCAGATAATGGACCTTGGGTTTGGGGTCATACAGGACCCAGTGCATAGGACAATTGAGTTGGGGAGAAAAAAACATAGGACCCACTACGGAGTAGCGGGAATTTCCGACAATATACAACCAGGTACATGTGACTTGGGTTGTGCCCTGACAAGTGTGTAGATTGCCAAGTAATTTGTTGTCACTGCATGTGATAACTGCACAGCGTGATACCTCAATTAGTTAGGTATGAGTAGTGATGGACTGTCATATCCGTGCATACCCGATCCCGCCCCAACTTCTGGACCTCCTCCTTCCCCACCTCCGGAATCCTACCCTACCGCTGTCCGTTCCGATAACCACCTCAGACCGAACACCACCCCTCTCGCCACCCTCCTCCTACTCCTCATACTCCTCCGCTCCCTCCTCACAACACCTCCACCCTTCCATCATCCTCCTACTCTTCTCCCGTCCGCTCTGATACCCACCTTCAGACCTGACACCTCTCCTCTCTTCCTTCCCCTCTCTTCCCTCTGGTCCTCTTCCACCGACCTCCCACCGCTGACCTGTACTTTGTACTCGGGCACCGCTCGTACCTTTGCTCCAAGCCTCCGTCATAGTTCCTACCTCGGACTTTGACTCCACCTTGGTCTTAGTCCATTGCATTGGTGATCTCATACTACGTAAACACCATTGCCAATATTCCTCGGACTTTCAACCCCGCCTCCGTAAGCTCCGCAACCTCCGAGCTTCGCGGATCATCTTTGGCACTTTCGCCGCTTGTAATGTATTTCTCGCGTTTCCCCCTCATCCCTATTTGGACTGCTGCTTCTTCCCATTTTAGCCAGTTAGTCATCATCCCCACTTCCCCTCATCCTCCTGCCCCTCTGGGCCTCGCCCTCCTTACCTCCTTTCAGACGTATCACAGGTTCTGCCTTATGACCTTTGGATCCCTTTGTTCCCGTTCGGATGCCTTCATTCCGATTCGGTTCCCCTTTGTTTCCTTGTGCTTTTGCCCCCTCCATTATATATCGGTGCTTGTACATACTCGTAGCAGGCTCAGTCTGAAATCCACCTGAAATGCCCCCTAGAGACTTCCTGCTCGCCTACTGTGAAATTAAGGACCAAATGGACAAACAGCAATGGCACAGCGCTCCACTTGAGTCGCTGAGGCCAAGGTCCCTCCACGCTAAGTCTCCGATTCCACTCCGGAGTTGTCTGAATCCGCCCGTTCTAACATGGACGGACTTGCCTGCGCAGCGCGATACCTCAATTAGTGAGGTATCAGCTGCTAGCGCAAGTCCGGTCCTTATATACATCTTGTAATGATTCTACACCACTGAGGTGAAACATGAGTGGTAAACAACAAGTTGAAAACAAAAGCGCAAAGACAAAGAGTCAAAGAGGTTGCCGCCGTTTGTGCCTCAAAGCGCCCCTCCCCTTCCCAAAGCGTGAATGTCCGGCCCGGGTGACTCCCTTGACCACCAGTGGCATTGGGCTGCAACTTCTAACACTGCACAGGCTGGAAAATGGACAACCCTGCTTCAGGCTGTCTTTGGACTAAATACACGAAAACCAGGCCACTTCTGTTATGAGGGTTCCCCTCAAACTGGATGGTTGAGCTTGCAGCACCTAAACAACAATAATTCTTATTTCAATACAAATTTACTGACTGTCCCCAGCCATATGGATTCCCATGGTAAAAACCCCCTCAGGAAACAAAAGCCTCGCGAGCTCGGCCAATGGAGTGAAGGAAAGTGAGGGAGTCTGGGGATTTCGCATGTGGTTCTTCATGCATTATGACTAACCGAGCTTAAATCCCGCTCTTTTAAGAAAATCACCTATACTTGTCATCAAGCTAGGGTCCTACGCTCCAATTGAACCTATCCGCATCCTTGAGTATGCTGCGTGATTGAGTGGCATTGACTGGACCATGCTGGAATAAATACATGTATAATTCTTAGGGCTTTTCGCCAACTTCCACAAGGTGCTTCCATTCTTCTATAATATTGCAAGATCCATACCGATGTAGAAGACAGGAGCACTTGGAACCTACCTCACTCATGAAAGGAGACGGTTTTTCCCAGGGCACAGCTTGCCAATCTCCCTACTGTGTTCTGCAATGGAGGGATGCTGCAGTGATGGCCCTATGCACGAATCCAAAGTTATTGGTTTAACTGCCAACTTCGAGTCCTACTCACTTCAGTCAGGGTGTTCCAAAAGTCTGGATACTTACTCAACCCATCCTCTGTAGCGACGTCCAGAAGAATCTCCGATTTTGAATGATTCATCCAGGACGGAGGGAGGATACCAAAATCCCATCATCTTTGTGAATTCCCGTGTGTGCAAGAATTTCGCTACTTTCGCATGCCCATGGTCATCCCAACGTGAAAACTCTTCGGGACGCTCGACAAAATCTAGGCATAATTTGGATGCGAGTTTATGAATTTCGCTGGAGAGGTTGACTACTCAGGAAGGGGACGAAGGGGACGAAGCTGCTCGAAGATCCATGGACTGGTTGGGTGATTTAGGATACCCAAAAGATCCCAGATCCAGAACTGCAGTTCGAATATTTGCAGAAGGCGTTTCTTGCTGGATGACCTTGACCATCTCATCTAAATGGAAATCAAGCATTCAAGCCTCGATCCACGTACCCAGACCCTGGAGCAACACCAGTAATTACAACTAAGAGTTAGACGAATCTCATCTCGAGCCCTAGCAAGGCAACTCACCATGTTTGCCATTGAGCACATCTTGAAGATCTCTTCGCCTGTGGTGTGACATCCTTCGGATGTCATGAGTTGTCTTGCTGGACCTTGTGCCGCTGAAGGGTGCCATATATAAGGTTCTGGCATGCACACGTCTGACGCCACTAATCTGACATCACAAAAAACAATAAGGCAAGCATGGAGAAACTTGCCCATTATCAAGCCACGTTCTCCACACGGCCACTGTCGGGTCGGATGAATAGGCATGTGCAGTAAAGGGGTCAGCGCGAATGTTAGGAGTGGCCGAGCAATCATCTCCCCAGTTACGTATAGAGAGCCTTCAGGCTATCCTTAATGTACTTCCAGGTCCAGAACGAATAGTCATGGATACCCATGCAGGATTGGGTCGAGAAATAATCGTTCGGCAATGAGCAGTCATACAGTCTATATTATAGCAATTTTAGATGCCCGGTGACCTGATTAATCAGCTTCACCGGTGCTGAAAGCGGATAAACATTCATCCATGGTGCCGAGGTGGACAAAGTGGCTTACCTGGTCCAATTCCAAGTACTGTTGTGGAACCCGCCGCGATCTGCGTCCGACCCCTGGAGTATTAGATATGTATGGTGATAGCATTTAGGTCAAGCCATCAACGTGAGGTTGAGATAGTAACATACGCATCCTGAATTGAGTTGGCACAGATGTTCAAACTCTGAGCTGTTGCCTGCAACAAAAGAAGTTCCTCCTCTGAATCACACCGTAGCGCGATTTTTGCTTGTCCCGTACGTTCCCAGTGCTCAAGAAGCTGGAAGAAATCAGTATCACAGTCGACAAACAAGTAGAGTGAAATGTGGCCCATGACCAGTGAGCGGCGAAGATCAGCCGCCTTCCTTCGGTGAGCAAATATGAAGTATTGACGTACCGCCGGATTTGACTTCAACAGGGTTTTGTAACACGCTAAAGTTGCATGGCTGATATGTGTGCGGTTGCGAAATGGCGAATCAGCCGTGGTTGAAAGGCAGAAAGATCACAGGTCAATCAGACACTATCGAAATAGAGGCAGATGATGCTAACCCGCATTGTGCTGCAATCTTTCCCCTTGTCATCCCCAGGTCCGTTCGCACCACTAAAACCTATAAAAACACACAATAAGTTATCCCAACGTGTCACATCCACATGACGCAGAAGCACGAAATGTATTGCGTACCAGTTTGCATTCTTCAAAAATTCCAGCTTTGACAGAAGATAACCCTTCCAAAGGTTCCTCATCCTCGGAGCCCGATTCCTGCGTATCCATCTCAGCAAAGCGTGTCTTTTTTGCGCCCTTAGGAGTAGTGGGTGGACCGCTGCCGACAGGGGAGGACCTGATCAGCGCGACTCGGAAACCGAGGTGATAACCAAGTGCAATTGCCAAAAGCCCAACCACCACTGTGAAGAAGTATTTCCCCATTTGTTAGCCTATTTGCTCTCTCTAGGCGTCTCAGCCATAGTTCACCTGTCCCAGCAAACATGGATTGGAAGTCTCGAGGCATGCCGGACACAGCCGAATCGAGAATCTTTGGTCACAAGATCAGGCACACGGGCTAAACAATTGGCGCAACTCGGGGTAATATCCTCTTGAATGACTTGATTAGCTTTGGCCATCCACTCATCGATCGTGCTCGCGCTTGTGTTAGTTGACTGGTGGATTACTCCTTAGCTCATAACCTGCGTTCCTTGTTTTTGGTAATGAACCTTTTGTTTGTCCTCGGCGTTATTTTTTTTATTTGTTTATTCCTCCCGTTTCGTCTGAATTTCTTTGTAAGGCTCAACACCGTTGGCCTGCGTAAACCGCCGTGCTGCCGCGTTATCCTTGATCGGCCGCGCCCGCTACCGCAGATCCCGACTGATTAGCGTCACGCACGCGTCAACTTTTAGCCGAGAAAACTTCCTTAACGTTTGGCACAAGTGCCGCTGCCTGGCGCGGCTTCTCTTTGATACAAAGGCGTCGAGACGATGATATACTTGTGCATTGGCTACTCTGCTCAGGTGCAACGCTTCGACACCGAAGATTGCGCGGTTACCATTTGCGCAGAGTCCTGAGCTGGGCGCATTGAGGATCACTCGGACGCTGCGAGTTCTCTATGCACTTTCATACCGATTGACATGACACGGCCTTCCGATTGTACAAGTATCATCCAATCACAACTGCGTTGACGAATTAGCACATGCGTGGGTTTACTTAATACTAGAGTTGGGCATGAACTTCACGTGAACCGCGTGAACCAAAGTTCATGAACTTTCAGGGTCCAAGGAGGGTCACACGAACCGTTTGTGAACCGTTCACAATCCGTTCATGAACATTATATTAGGTTACCTAATAGCGCGGGTCCACCGTTTCTCGCTCTCTGATTGGCTCAAGCCTCGCTCTTTAAGGTTTTAGCCTTAACCCCGAGTTGGGGTACCAGTCTAGCTCATCATCCGTATCATCGTCATCTTCACTGTCGAGGTTGCCATAACAGTATATGAGTAGACCAAATCAGCACTGGCTCGAAAGATAAACTGGACATGCATGCATTCGGGGCAACAAGCATGCGATGGGTAGTGTCGGTCAAATTTTGCCGCAGTAGAGTTTTCAGGGATGAGATGACACCAAGATGAGCCACATTACATTTCATAGTCTTCTGTTTGAGCTTATCTGTGGGCATGTTCTGCACATGGCAGCAACCAGGATGACTTGACTTGCAAACATGAAACATGAGACGACAAATGAGCTGGTTCCGTGCCTTTGGCTGGAACCCGCGAGAGTGTTTGATTGAAGTGAGCATAGTATTCACTCCACCGGTGTCTGTTGTATGCTCTGAAGATAGTTTAACCGAGCAAATGCGATAAGGACGACATCGACACACACCTGCAACATTTGCATCGCTCCAGCCCAACTGCATAGCCTGGACATCCATAACCTTCCCTGTCTGTGTCACATCCACATCTGTTGACCAGTCTATTATCAGAGGGGTGTCTAACATGTGTCTGAACTCTGAAGAGGCGAAGCAGAAGGAATTATAATTGAAGTAGTGGCTAAACGGCGGTCTGCGGTGGCTGGGCTAATAGAAAATCTATTGATGTATTGAAGTTTATGAACCAGTTCACGTGAACGGCCGTTCGTGGGAAAGTTCATGACCTGCAGGTTCATGAACCATAGTCTATGAACGTTCATGAACCGGTTCATGAACCGGCATGTTCATGCCCATCTCTACTTAATACTTACTGTGTGCGAGTAGACGAAAGACCAATTAGGCGCACACCGTGGAAAACCGCCGAATGTTGCCTCCGTTGTGCTGGGAGGGTGAATCGAGAATTGCATTTTGGAAGTTGGGCAATCCCGAGGGTACGTATCACTGTAACCAGCGCAAGCGCCACTTCTGTTCATCGTAGGGGACGCAGAAGAGTGATGTGTCCCTTTATTGATCTTCAAGGTATATGAGCTTGGCAGCTGTTGTTCCGATCTGAGGCTAGGCAGGATCCTACTAGGTATCCACTATAGTCATCTGGGGCCCCAGTTAGTAGAAGCTATAAGCGGACAAACGTTGCTTTCGCTCTCCCAGTTACCGATATTTAATCATCCTCCTAGATCATTGCACACGTGGAGGAAGTCACCAGTCGGGAATAGCAACTAGGGATTGCCAGCTACATGGGTCAATCGTGTGAATGGTCGATCTCAACCTGCGATAAAGGACAGTAAGTATTACGGTCATGTGCTACGTACAGCCAGTCCCTGGGAGAACACCAATTTTCCTGGCCACCAAGAATCAACGAAAAACCTAAACAGAACAAGGGAATGCATTATGTAGGATACAGGATACATATTGGATAACAAGATGGTGATGGTGATGATGGTGATGATGACGATGACGATGACGATGACAATGCACATGATGATACAAGAATCGAACAGAAAAAAATGTCAGGAACAAATCAAATGGTACGAAAGTATCTTTTTGAACTGAGAGTAGTAGCCACCCAAATACCCCGAAGCTTTCAAACATGAAAGCAGTCCTGGCGCCACTCATAAAGTGCACGCAGCCAGAACCCAACGGCCGAAACACGATATTCTACACATCAGCCCCTAGCGCCCAATGGAGACACGAATGAGATAAGTTCACAGCAAAAAAAAAGTGGCTATCAACAAACGATCGACACGCCAGCTATGCTTTACCACGATGAGAGAAAACTTCATCTAGCAAGAGAGCGAACGTCGGATCATCGCTCGACAGTCATTCAGCCTCGACAAGAACCCGAACCCTCCTCGCGGCGCATATACCTTCTAACATGTTCAAATTTTCCTTTACGTCGTCCTTCTCAAGCGTCGTGCTCGGAGCACGAAGCACAACCTGTTCGAGCGCAACAACATCAAGTGCAGACTGAGATTCGATCACGGTAGAAAGGATATCAAGGGATATCGCGAACATCGACGGCAGTTGACTCCCCTTGGGGGAGCAGAGTGAGAGCGTTTTGAGCGTATGTGGGAGACGGGAAGCGTAGCACGGAGAGAAGGAAGGGGTGGAAAGCGAAAGAAGATAGTGTGTGAGGGGGCAAGAAGTAAATTCAAGTGCCTGTAAGTTTGGGGTGAGCGATGAAAGCGCTATTGGGTCGAACAAATAAGTTGGAGTTTGCGGGTTTGGGGGCGAGGGTGATTCATTAGAAGTTTGAGCTTGATAGGCGTCTAAATTGCTAACGTCGAGGCCCGACTGGGAACCCAATGAAAGCGAGCGAAGATTAGGCCCAATAAGACGCAATACGTCCTTGAATGAAGATATGTTGACAGTTTGGGACCGAGTGGTCCATGGATTAGGGTTCGTCTCCGCGTGGACGATTGCGGAATGCGGAACGGTCGACAACTTGAGTTCATGAATACTTTTAACAGAAGAGTGAAGTAGCGCGCAAAGGAAGCCAAGGAAAGGAGATCTCTGGCGTACGTCAAGCGCGAGGCTTGTGAGTTTGTTTGGCATGATCCAGGGTGTGCGTACATCGCCCGATGAATGTGCGTTGATCGGCCCGTCGCGAGAGGGGAGCGTTTCCGTGTAAAGCGTCGTTTCATTCTCGAAAATCACCCACGAAAAACGTGACACATTTGCAAAGATACCCTCTGTGAAGAGACTTTGGACCGCCTGTCGATGCCAGGATCGCTCCTCCTGCACACACAGTTCAGTGATCCGATTTCCAAAACGACCGTCTGTATCACTACCCATCGCACTTCTCAGGATCCCCAAGGACTCGGCATTGAATTGCAGGAGTCCAGACTTGACTCGGACGCGTTCGATGTTAGGGCACGTCACAAGGAACTGGGCAAACTCAATTGGGTTAATGCGAAGCAGTGGATGCCGCGACGGATCCATAAAGGTTGGACACTCAAGCATGGTAACGGAGCGAATGGAATTTGCAAGAATGTGAGACTTGGATATAGGAGTGGCGATGGCAGCATGGAGGGAGCGGAATCGAGCAAGTATATTTCTTGAGGGATGATCAAGAGCAATCGTTCGGAACTGGAATGTGCTCAGTTCAGGTCTGGGCTGGCGGCAGCCCCAAAAGAGGATTTCAGAAGCACTTACGAGACGTTTTTGAGCAGGGAGAGTCCATTCGCGACAGACCAAAGAACAATTCCGTAGAGCATCGAGGGAAGACTGGTGTGGTGTCAGAAGGTCAGAGCCCGGTTCGATAAGCGCGTCCAAGATATCGAGGACGAGGTCGTTGGGGAAGCGAGGCATTGGCTATGAGGAGTGAAACAAGTCCACTAAACTCCGCAGGCGTTTTGTGCGGCGGGAAAAGGTGGAATCGCCGCAACGGGAGCTCAGAGAACGTGTGGACTGTTCGAAAGGTAGTGTTCGGGTGGAACGTGCTGAGCGGGGAGGCCAGGAGGACGCTATTGGGCAGCGTGGTGAGACGGGACAAGGTGGAATGGAGAGCATGGTATTTATACGGGCGAGGACCAGAATTGGATGGTAATTCTAATACAGACTTCAAGTTCGACGCAAATGGGCCTGTTCGAATGAATTGTTATCGACTCCTTATTCCATTTTCGGAATTCTCCTTGCTCACTCTCGCCACCATAGAGTTGCTCTACCTCCGCACTTGCCTTTCTCCTCTTCCATTCATCGTTTTTGACGGGTTTCATACTATGCCCGATCATTCTTGACCGTTAGAAACTAAAAAATGAGAGTGAACGTCTAATTTATAATTATTTCGTTTCCGAGGAGAGACCTCGGCGTAGTCGTCAATTCTCCGTCTTCTCTCCGTGGGTTTCATTCCCCGTTGGCGCATTTTTTGCCTAGGTAGAGCGTGTATCCAACGAGGAGCCTCTCCTCAGCGGTCATCCTTGCGCTATCCTGTCATGTCCATCAAACGTAGAATCTTATCTGCCTCTCACCCTTCGCCAGCGACCCTGCCTTGCATGCTGCCCTTGCACGGACTTGCGACAATTCCATGTGCTGCCACAAAACACTTCGATTCAGTCGTTGTGGCTTGATGTTCCTCGTTTGGGTCTGTTCCCTGCATCCTCTCCCTTGTGCCTTCTTGCTTTGCACCAGCATCTTGGTGTTACTCAATTCAGCCGGCGAGAATCTTTTCCGCAGCGGATTTCCAGGGCCGATCAGTTGCGCCTCGAGGTTTGCCGTCTGTTGGCTGGCAATACAGGTCCTCGACCAGGGTCAGCATGCTTCCATAACCATAGGAGAATGTTACCGTTCTGGAATTCGACGGTGGTTGCTGGCACGCCGATCATTTCTAGCGACCGCTCAATTTCGTGCTTGATTATTTACCCTACATGTTCTTTCCATACATGAGTGATCTAGCCCTCAATCATTCCAACTCTTGCAGGGGAACTCCGACCGAGGACGTACATATATGATCACGCATACATACCGGATTATGGCATGAGGGCAATCAGCATTCATTTGACTGGTTCTGTCCATTGCGGCATGAACAGCCTCGCCCGATGCCTATGATCAATTGAGGATCATGAAGGTTTGTTTGGGTAAGTCCAATGCTTGTATCAGCCATCCCGTTCTGAGAAGCTGAGGATCTGTCGATGAGTTACTTGTGCTCTAACGTCACACTCTGTCCGAGTGCTCTCATTTGATGTCTTGATCTTGAATTATTTTATCCCCTCTATTCATGCGTGGCTCAAGTGTGGTTCCATCGAAGCGGGGGAGCATCAATGCGATTTGTGAGTGAAATGTGGGAGGATTCCATAGTCGGTTACTGATTAGTTACTGATTAGGATGCGGCACCCGTACCTCCAGACGAGAGGTGTTGGCTTGTTAGGCTCGCACCTCAGTACCCAGCTATCGTCGTCAGTCTCGTTTAAATGGGAAACACCCTTGTCAAATACTCGAGAACCCCCAAAGCAATCTAGTTTTTTTTGCTAGCTCCCACCAACAAAACGTGCATTCACCCCACAAAATCAACGTACCGAACAAGGGCATAGCCTCCCCTTCCGCCCGCCCTCCCTGGGACGATGTTTTCCGATTCAGGCCGACCCAAGACTTTTGCGAGATCTTTCCATGTCAGGCTCGGTGCCTTTAGGGCCGCCCATCCGCCGATGACTCAAGATACCCGAAGTAGCGTAGTTTCTAAGTTTCTCCCAACAAGAAATGCGTCCAGGTCCAGGGAACAAAAAAACTAAGTCTGTCCTGGGAGAGGTTTTTCCCTCTCAGATGCTTGTGCAGGAAGGCCTGCCCACATTTGAGAGTCGGGGGGGCTGTACGTGACATGTGGTGTTCATATCAGTATTGGCAAATTTAATCTCGATGTCAGGACACTTTGTTCATCAAATGTTTGTTGGCATCATATTTCCCCTTTTCCCTCCCTCCACCCCTTTTCTTGGGATGGATCCCCCTCATCCTCATGAGCACCCACCAGATACTAGGGTACCACAAGTCTGCTGGCAGTTTGCTTGTAGCTGTAAGTGGCTTTTTGGGGTGTGGCCTTTTGAAGGTGAGCCTCTATTTCATCCCTGATATTGATGAGTATTGATACATTCCACTTCCCATATGGATTTGTTGGGATAGTTTTGGAGACTCTCAAAAATTCCTGACACCACTTTTGTAAAGTGGATGCATATGGCCATCCATGATTCCATGCAATTGCAACCCACTCAGAGGCAATCATCCAACCTTTACTTTCAATCAAAGTTGGGTGGTTGCAGCAGTACACATGGAACAGTTACAGCATCTGTTCCAGTGAAAGGTTGGTTGAGGTTCCGACCTTAGTGTTGACTCCTGCTATCCTCAAGCTGTCTGGAAATAGGCAGTATAGAGTTGATATTTTAGACAGGGGAGGAGAAGAGTGAAACCCAGTTTCACCCTTCCTGTCATGGCCATGCATTCTGGCCCGTTCCCTGCCTGTCCCAATGCTGCCTGTGCCTGTTCCCACTGCATGAGTGTGAGCACGCAAGCCCCAACCCTCATCCCTATTCTCCTTGAGGACTCCCTGCTCACTCCCCACTTGCCTGTGGTTCCCCAATGCTAGACCAACTCCCCCACTGCCACACCAACCTCCCCGCCTTGAGCCCACCTCCGGCACCATGCCCAGCGTGACTCCTCTACCCTGCCCACTTGGCCCCTACAGGGCCACTACCATTCCCGTGCCCAACTCTGAGTCCAGCACCGATACCATTGCCATCACCGCTATCGCAGCCCTACACCCCTTTGTTTATTTATCTGTTTTGACCCTTGGTCATTGCCTGCCACTGTGTGGCCAACCCCGCTCTTTGTTCCCTTTTGCTTCCAGACCCTTCAGCCTTCGGGGTCCGGAGTAAGTTCCAGAGGTCTGGAGTCGGAAGTCAAAGTCCGGAATATTGGCTAGACATAATAAATGAAATGCAATAAGGAATACAAGGAGATAAGATGGAGGAGGTCAAGTACTGGAGATGTGACCAGAGTTCCAGAGGTGGAGGTGCGATGGGGTTCCAGTGCAGGAGTCCGGAGCTGGAGGTGTGGAGCATCACAAGCTCTGGTCTGGAAGGTATGAGGTTGGGATTGGACCCGGAGTAAACTGGAGTCGGACCGGAGGTAGTGTTGGACGTTGTGTTGGAGCCAGAGGTAGAGTGGGCTCTCAACAACCAACAGGGGGAGGAGGAGGAGGAGGATGTGGAGTTCTGGAGGAGGAGATGGAGGTCCAGAATCAGGAGCAGAGGTCCGGAGTTGTATGGATATGACATGAAGGATGCAATTGATCTATTTGAGTTCAAACACCCAGACTGTGTCAGAGTATGGATATTTGACTGCTCTTCAAGCCATGAGGGATTTGCCCCCAATGTGTTGAATGTGAATGTCATATCCATACAATCCCAACCTCCGCTCCGGGCTCCTGGAACTCCGAACTCCGACTTCCAGAGCCCTACTTCCCTTCCATCACTTTCTCCTTGCTGACTCCCAAGAGGTTATCCCACCTCCAGCTCGGACACCACCTTTGGTCTGACTCCGGAACATTCCGGGTCCGACCCCAACCTCGACACCTTCCAGACGAGTACGCAAAACCTATGCTCCCAACTCCGGACCTCCGCTCCAGTATCCCGTTCACATCTCGTCTCCGGAACCTCCGGTCTTAGTTCCGACCTCGGACTTTGACCCCACCTCCACTTATACCCATTGTATTGGTTAGCTCATTCCATTTAATTACCTTTGCCAATATTCCGGAGTTTAACCTCCGAGTTCGGACTTTCCGGACTTACTCCGGACCTTGCAACTATTGCATTGTCCATTTCAATTCCGCTATTCTCCCTCATTCCTATTTGGGCTGCTGCTTCCTTTCTATTCAGTCAGCTAGCCATTCCCGACTCCCATCCTCCTTCCTTCCTTCTTGGGTCTTGGCCCTTCATTCCTCCTTTGGGAAACACCATTGAGTCAAACACTTGACCCTCGGTGTTGTTCCTCTTTCCATCTCCCTTTGTCTTCTTTTGTCCTACCCTTGTTCCTTTTGATTCCGGACCCCTCCTTATATACAATGTACCTAGTAACTTGTAACCTCAGTCTGAAATCGACATGAATTCCCCCCAAGAGACTTTCCCTCTGCTAGATCCGAAATTAGGGACCCCTAGGACAACCAGCAATGGCACAGCGCTCCGCATGAGTCGCTGAGGCCGAGGTCCTTCCACGCTAAGTCTCTGTCATATCCATTCCCGGCCATCGACTTCCGGGCTCTCCGACCCTTCCGTTCTAACTCCGCTTCCCCCTCACCAACCTCGGAGCCCCCGTATTCCGCAAACCTCCCGGTACCCCTCGATGGTCACCACCCCCTCATTTCAATTTATTACCTACGCCTCCCTAAGTACGGAGCCCCGAAGACTTCCGGACAGCTCCGACGTCCGCTAGCGCACTCCCGCCTCCGCTGGGCAATACACTTGCCTGCCCTGCAGAGTCCACCTTCGGGCTTATCCCTCCTTTCCGTTTCTGGGTTAACGCCTGCCTTTCCGCTAACCCTGCGAACCGACTCGTCGGTAATATTCAGTCGGCTAATGTCTTAACCCCGTTAGCTCCGCTCCGTCCGGCTCCGCCAATTGCGGAACCGTCTCCGCTGTAACCATATATATACACTACTTGTACATAGGTTACGCCCCAGCAGATAAATCAACTAGAGTTACCCCCACTAGGTTCTAAGCGCCAGTCAGTAAGTTAGGGCACGGACGTGTCACTAGGCACAGCGCTCCTGGCAGAAGTCGCTGAGGCCAAAGCCCTCCGTTACGGAGACATTCTTTCGTCTTAAATCTGGTCTCTGACAGTCTCCGATTCCACTCCGGAGTCGTCCGAATCCGCCCATTCTAACAGTGAATGTGAATGGCATGAATGTGAATCCAGGTGGAAAACAGAAAACAATGTGACCAACCATCATCCCACTCGACAACCCACCCCCATTACCAAATGAGGAAGATACTCATGGCCAAGTACAGCTAATGGTCTACCCAGATGACCCAAGCATCCCTGCTGGGCTGCAAGGAAAGCCTAAAGGAATGCACATTGTGTTGCAGGAGCACCAAAGTGTGTGGAGGAAACTTGTTGCCGAAAGTCTAAATGGGAAGCCAATTGGGGCCTGCAAGCAGTGCCAAAAGTCTCAAGCTGCAAAAGATGCAGAAGCATGCATTTCTGCTGTAGTGGCAACTGGTGAGGAAGTAGAGGACATCCCACTGTCAGATGCACTGGATGACCCCACTACGGCCTGACTGGTGCTTGTTAGAATGGGGCGGAAACGGACGACTCCGGAGTGGAATCAGAGACTTAGCGTGGAGGGACCTTGGCCTCAGCGACTCAAGCGGAGCGCTGTGCCATTGCTGTTTGTCCATTTGGTCCTTAATTTCACAGTAGGTGAGCAGGAAGTCTCTTGGGGGCATTTCAGGTCGATTTTGGACTAAACCAAAATGAGTATGTACAAGCGCCGATATATATAATGGAAGGGGCAAAAGCACAAAGAGAACAAAGGGTGACCGAATCGGAACGAAGACGTCCGAATGGGAACAAAGGGTAGAGGGAGCGGAGCGGTACCAAAGGTCATAGGGCAAGACCTGTGATACGTCCGAAAGGAGGTAGAGAGGGCGAGGCCCAGAGGGGCAGGAGGATGAGGGGAAGTGGGGATGATGACTAACTGGCTAGAATAGAAAGAAGCAGTAGTCCAAATAGGGATGAAGGGAAAATGCGAGAAATACATTACAGGCGGCGAGAGTGCCGAAGGCAGTCCGCGAAGCTCGGGGGTTGTGGAGCTTACGGAGGTTACGGAGGCGGGGTTGGAAGTCCGAGGAATATTGGCAATGGTGTTTACATAGTATGAGGTCACCAATGCAATGGACTAAGGCCGAGGTGGAGTCAAAGTCCGAGGTGGGGACTATGACGGAGGCTCGGAGTAAGGTACGAGCGGTGTCTGAGTGCGAAGTATGGAACAGCGGTGGAAGGTCGTAACTTGGCGGAAGGGTGGCGGAGGAGTAACGGAGGGAGGAGAGAGGGGACAGGTAAGGTAAGAAGGAGTGGCGGAAAGGAGAGTAGTCAGGTCCGAAGGTGAGTATCGGAGCAGATGGGGGAAGCGTAGGAGGATAACGGGAGGGTGGAGGTGTTGTGAAGGGGGAGCGGAGTAGTAGGAGGGTGGTGAGAGGTAAGGAGGAGGTGTGTTGCCAGGACCGAAGGTGAGTATCGGAACGGCAGCGGTAGGTTATGACTCCGGAGGTGAAGAGGGTGGAGGTCTGGAAGTCGGGTCAGGGTCGGGTATGCACGGATATGACAGTGCTGTATGATGTGTGTTCTATCCCTGCAATCTGACTTCAAGAGTGAACGGCCACTTCTTCAGCAATATGGAGAGGAGCAGGGCCACATCTGCTTATTCCTACCGAAGTTTCACTGTGAGCTTAACCCAATTGAAATGTACTGGGGGTATGCAAAATATCGTGAGTCAAATCAATTTCTTGATTGATCTCATTTTCTAATATGTAAGCTCTTCAGGATACAGAGCTGCAATGGATGGGAAGTTTAAATCTGCAAAAGCTCTGATTCCACAGTGCTTGGATTCCTGTGACATTGTAACAATCCATCGCTTTTTCCATAAAACCTGGTGCTATATGGATGCATATGAGTGAGT